TTTATCCTTGAAGGTTTTTTATAAATCGATCAACCATGAATCAAAGAAGAAGCAGAGGATTGAGTAAGGGGAGGAGAGAGTTCCACTGCGAGAGAGAGTGTTTGAGCACAATGGTGCTGTCGGAAACGGCCCAAAGGGACAAACCCAGACCCCTAGCCATGATCCCTACCCCTCTCCCTCAAATCCCTACGTCCCCCATGCTTTTCTCTGACTGTCCCCCCTCTCCCACTCATGAAATCGAGGATGTGCAGCAATGGCGATGAGATCCCCACTCCTCCCTCTCCCTCTCCCTCTCTCTATCACTCTGTCTCTATCTCCATCTCTTCCTATCCCTCTCCCTATATCTCTATCTCTATTTCTATGTCTATCGGCATGACCTCCCATCCTTGAAACCCTTACCGAGCGATCCTTACTCCTCCATCTTATTTTCCCTCTCTCTCTATCACTATCTCAGAGGCGGCATGGCAGAATGGTAAATAATTTGCACAAAAAGATGCACTATAAAGGCGATATGAATGGAGTCACCACCTAAAATGTACCAATGCAGATAACACACATTTCACAAATCAATATAGGCATCTCTAAAGAATTTAAATAACCAAGAGATGGGTGAACCAAGCAAAGCAGTTTGATTTTCCCTTACATTCAATTCAGCTAACATCAAGAGCCATTGTACAATCAAATGGATGAACTTAAATGCTCTTATTCACAAAAGTTGTATTCTAAAAAAATATTGTTTGTTTGCATAAGAAACATAAGTGGCATGCAGTTCACTCATGGTCTGTAAAACCACCAAAAATTACATAAAAAAAGACTAAGAGAATCCACGGTAAACAAAAAAGAAAAGAAATCCAACAAATCCAACATTGTTTCATAAATATAATATTTACTCAGTATCACTATTGTGACAAATTTTGATGACACTACGACACATATTATGACTAACTTCATTTCTCACTCCTTTTAGACTAAAGTGATAATTTTAAAATGAAGGCTTACAATTTATTGAACTAACAAATATAAAGCCATATACATATATGCAGTTGAAACTATATAGAACGTACCCAAGAGAGTATATGAGTTCCATGGTAGAAGCCGTTGAACATAGTTGGACACAAAGGCCTATCAATCAATCTATAAATGAAAACCTGCACAGAACCAGACAGATCGATTCCAGCAACTATAGTACACAACAATGATCTCTCAAATAAAGCTAAAGCAAATATATAAAAAAAAAAATTAAAAAAAATGGAGAATGTTGAGTTATGTACGCAACAACCCATACCATACCTCCCTTTTCGCTTTAACCCTCACAAAAAAATCCTCCCATCTCTCTCTCACCCTAGTCCCATCTCTTTGTATCTATAAATCGCAGAAAACCTAAAACAAATCCCCTGAATTCTATCTCGAACACCCTCATCTCTCTACAAATCGCACAAACAAAACCCCAAACCTAATCCTTGAGACCCCACCCAAACCTAATCCCTGAAACCCCTTCTCTCGGACACCCCATACCATAGAAAATGCGTATGAATTTTAGTTTATTTTTCCTACCTTTTAACAATTCACCAGTAAGATTATCTCACTAAAAACTTATATTAGCAAATCCAGTGACAAACAATGTGAAATTGAAGCTGTAATGAAAGCTTATATTAAGAAAGAATGAAAAGGCGTCTTTTTACAACTTGGAAGATAATGATTTCAAAACTCAAAAGCCCACCCGACAACAAAAAATGCATAGCCATCAAATGGTAATTCTGAACAGTGGTGTCATTGTTCTGAAAGATGACTTCCATGAAACCTTTGAAAGCACCATTAATCAAAGATGTGTCTACTTTGGCAGGTCTCTCCATCAGTTTATTCGGGAAATCAAGCTTGTAAACCCCCGAAATGTTGAACTGTTGGGCAAGCTTCAGGGGCGTTGAAGGTGGCATATATGAAATACCATTGAGGGTAGTGCGCCACTTCCCATTTATAAGTTTTCACTACAAGAAAAATGAGTTTTTGGTACAAAACAAAGGTCACAATTAAGAAGGTTGTGTGTATTTGACCACTAAAAAGCTTAAACATTTCTCATTCCATAGAGGGCACCATCTATTGTGCCCAATGTTAAAAAAAGAAGACACAAAACGATAATGGGCACGGAAACCGTGCTGAGTGGGGCTAGATGACAACTTTTTTACTGAAGATGGGCACAATTTTTTTTTTTGTCTATAAAAATTGTTTGTCAGCAACACTTTATGTGTTTTTTCATTTGTCTTGACCTCTAGCAGACCAAAAAAATTAAATTTATAAAATTAAGGTAAATAATGGTATGGAGCTGTTTATTACTGTGCAATGTTATAGCCTCAAAATATGTTAGCAATACTGTTCAAAATCGTTTTTGACGACAACCGAGCCTCAGATCTGTCACTTACAAGTAAATAAGAATACCACTAGACCTTAGTATTTAGTCGCATGTTTTAGATTTACAATGGATCATTTCCATATGCAATGAATGTTTGTTAGATTCGTATCTTTTTGAACTGCTTGTTAGATTGTTAGTAGGTTTGTTTTGATACTTGGTGATATGGTTTTTGACATTATCGTAAGTGTTTATTTTTTTTACTGTATTAAAAGTCCTTCCTGAAATGAAACATAACCAACAATTGTGCCCTTAGGGTCATCGGTCTCCGTGCAAAAGTTAATAGGTTTTCAGATATACAAATGAGTTAATAATTATAAGGGTGTACTATCTACACATATTTTTTTACTTCTCACACACCCTTTGTTAATTCTGTCCGTTGATTTTCTTTAATTCATTTGATCCGACGGCCGAAAACCAAAAAGGTGTAAGAGAAGTAAAAAAGGGTGTGTAGATATCACACCCCTAATTATAAATTCCTTTTTTTGACACAAATCTTAGATATTGTGTCTAGTAAATATTAATAAATAATAAATCACTGTACGTCCCATTGGGTCTTTAGATAGACAATATATCTTAGTAATTAAAAATTATTTTTTATGACACAAATGTTCGAAATTGTGTCCAGTAAATATTAATAAATAATAAATCACTTTATAGTAAAAGAATATGTTGGCACAATTATTGATTTGTGCCTTTATTTTAGTATAAAATGTCCACACTCCCTTACTAACTTGTCTATGGAAAATTAGAAGGTTGCTTCATACACTTGTGTTTCTTTTGAATTTGATCAAGTTCTACATCATTAAGAATGGGGGGCAAGCAACGTCGCAGAGTTAGAATTGGAACCGAATATCCAGCATCACATTCGTCTATTGCTTCAAATATTACAACAACAAATTCCACAACAAATCCTCCAGCTCAACGTCCACGACAACCTGTTAATGTTGGGTGCATAACTTGTTCTATCGATAATCAGTACATTCTTACTACTGTTGCTGATGGTCGCCTTGAATACGCATCACCCTCCAGTAACGGATGCGTACGTGCACCTCAAGGACGTGTGTTGCCAGCATGGGCATACCCGGGTAGGACAGAACAATACCCTATCAATTTGGTTTCTACTGAAACAACAACTTAAGAGTCTACTAGTTTTGTCGTTATTATTGAAGAACCACACTTATCAAGCACAAATTCGTCCTACATGCCCGTCTCTCCCACAAATGAACTCAGGAAATATGCATAATGTTACCGTTGAGATTTTAAGTAGTGACGACGAGGACAACTAATATATTTTGTATTATGTCATATTTTGCTGGTGTGTGAAAATATAAATATCTTATGCTATGTTGAACTCGTTTGGTCCTTTTATCAACTTATGTAATATTACAATATAATAATGTTTTCTTTCTAATTGGCCCATGATATCGATACTCCCAACATTATATATTTTTTGGTTTATAATTATATTTCCCGTCTGGTTCATACCGCACAATTCAGTGAATTCATAGTGTAGCAACGCAAGCCTTATGACACGATATATACCAGTAAAATAAAAGAAAATATAAAAAATGCTTGCACATCTGGGCAGAAGAAAAGTCCTAATCCACAAAGAAAAGTGCTTTCATACTTCCGTTTCACCCACAAAGAAACAAGAAAACAAATTAAAAAATGCTTTCATACTTCCCCTTCACCCACAAAGAAAAGTTCTAATCCAAGCATGCACATCTGGGCAGAGGAATCATAACTACAAACACAAATTCTGAATGGGTGGTGCCTAGTTCCTACTCAACTCCTCATTTTGCTCCAAATCGCACATTTGATGTGGCTTTCTTCAGGTATTTGAATTTTATATATGTTTTTTTTTTGTGTTCTTCTTTGGTGGCTTTAATGTCAACAATGGAAATTTTTTATTAATTTGCAATGACACTGTAATTGTTATTATGTCCTATAATTTAATATATTTAAAATAATTCATTTGGGTTTATATCCCAAGAAGGTTTTTATCGAGACCTATTGTTAGCACTCATTCCATGTACGTTGTTCTACCATGAAATGAATATAGTACTTGATTTCAAAAAAAATATATTTAAAATAAAGGTAGATTTTTTGTGCCCTTTGTTTAAAATAATGTTTTAAACAAAACACTTTCCTCAATCTTCACGCCTCACTCTCTCCTCATTTCCTTCATTTGGCATCTCTGTGTTTCCTCATTACTAGGTATGTGATTAAAGTAAGCAGCTCACTTTTACCCTAAATAATATGCATACTTACATATTTCATTGATTCAGGTCATGAACTGAACTAATGTGTTATCTCATACCTAGAAGTTAATTTTACAACCCGGAGTGAGGAATATGAATCTTTGATATGGCTGATCTGGAATTTGTAGGTATTGATTTTAATTAACTCTTTTTAGGTGTAATTTTGGACTGATTGTGTTCTGATTCGACTATATTTGTTTTGGCTTCTGATGACTATATAATCAGTGTGTATCTGATGAACGAATATTCCTGCTCTTCGATTAGATTTTTTTCTTCTCTACGTGCATATGTGGTAACGATTACTGATTACATTCTTTCTTTCGTGCAGCCTACGAAGTTTGAATTCAACGATCCAAAGACACTTTCTCCACCTCTCCCAGATTCTTGCCACTTACAAAAGTTGAAAAATGCAGGGTATGATTGCAAGCTTAAATTACTATGTGACATTGGCTGTAATTTTCTGATCTCATGGCCAAATGAATATTGCAGATTATGGATGCAATTATTTCTCATGGTTGCTTCTTGCGAGAATGTAGCGTTCAACACTCCATTGTGGGTGTGCGCTCACGTCTAGAGTCCGGAGTCGAACTTAAGGTGAGCTACCCTTTCTACACATTGGTAACAACAGGCTACCAGATTCCAATATGTCAATCATGAAATATTTCAAGCGGCAGTTAGAATATGCTTGAAAACATAAGCATGCTGGTGTTACGAGCTCTGATCACATTTGGTTATTTTAAATCGATTTTCAGGATACTATGAATTCTCAATGTTGATTGGATGGTTGGGTAGTTAAACATCATTGGAAATATGTGATCCTTTCCCTTTTTCATTTTTCCTTTGGTTTGGATTCCAGGAAGGTTATTGCATAATCCACCGAGCTGGGAAAAAAGGTAAAATCAGTTATGAGTGGCTATATGTAGGAATGCATGGATGCATTGATAGGAAAACCTCATTATTTTGTTGGTCTTTTGTCTTGAACACTTAAACATGTTCTTTATGAGGAATTTTTCTGTAGTTTCATTATAGACATTCCATTTCTACTATTGGATTGCTTTTTACAGCTGAGACTGCCATATTTGATTTTATGAAAATTTTAAATTTTTGATTTTATTTCAAAATTTTACATTTCTATTTTTTTTAAAGAGAACCTACTAGGCACAATAACAAAAATAGTGCAAACATGGATGGAGAAGGTCATCTGACAAGTTTGTCATAACATAGACACAAAAAGGCCTTTATTTGTGTCTGCCTCTTTGAGCACCAAACAGTCTATTGTGCCCTTTTAGCATAGGTGACGCCCATAGAGGGCACAAATACAAATATAGTTGCTGCACTGTTGCTATTGGTCTATGGGCACTTATGTTGGTGCTCTTTGGCCTCAAAGGGCACAAATAATTTATGTGTGCATTGCTCATATTTTTTGTAGTGTCTGCAGGTCTATTGAGGATAACATAGACATTTGTGACAGTGATTTCACCATATTTAAAAGATCCTTGTGAGTTTGGACGAGCAGCACCAGCAGAAACATTCCACCTGCAATTGTACAAACCGTCACGGAGAAGATGTAACAATAGTCAGCAAGCATTTGAGAACTATATACCGTATGGACTTCAAGGTAAAGAAACAAAATATCAGGCAGATGAAACTTTCCCAAGATATTAAATATCGTTCAACCTCCTTGTATGTAATATAAAACAAACGCTTATGAAAAAAGAATATTTTGTAAGCAATTTCTGTTCATATGAAGGTTATCACCATTGCCATTAAAATTTAGGGAGTAACCGAATGAGTGTTTGTTAGTAAACCGAAAAGAAACATAATCAACTACAACCTTATGGATCTTGCTTGATTCATTTGAGTAATATGTATCGTAATCATTGGGAGGATCAGGGAGAGGACCTGATGCAGGTCCTTGAGAATTGGAGTAGTGCAATGAATAATTTCCATAGAAAGTAACTAAAAAGATGGTCTAGCACCTAAGAACCAATGAAGTGAAATTTTGCTTGCTATATATGGATATGCATGCTATAAGAAACCATTCATATTCAATTCCAATGACAATATCTCTTTTCTTGAGTCCCTTTTGAATAGTATTTCTTGTGGCTTTGGATCGACAATAGTACTTACATACAAAAGATTACGAAACATTGTTTTATTTACCTAAAGAAAAATGACAAAATATTGTTTTACTTAGTTGCCTTTCATAAAATTAGAATGACACTGAAAATGCTTATGCTATTCAAATATCATATGCCAGATTGAAATCGAAAACAAAACTTTGAATTCAAAACTATTCACATGTGGAATAAATTGAAATGCCTCAAAATATTATCATGATCCAATTGTATATGGAAAATGCCTGAAAGTAATCCATGCCCTTCTCAAAAATAGGTCATTCAGCGTAGAGCACCAAGTAATAGCCTCTAATATCAGAGAAAATACCCGCCAAGAAAAGAAATTAAAATATTAGGCATATTTTGATTAGCATTACCTCCAAGATAAGTCGACCTCTCTAATCATATGGGAATTTGCAACGCATGGATTTCCCGTAGATATCTTTTGCATCATGTCATTATCAAAAAGGTAAATATGATCACATGTTTCAGGACAGCATATAGAACACGCGTATACACACCCCAATTACAAATTCTGCAATGAAAAGGATCAAAATAAAATAAAACTTTAGTTAAACTAAAACAATTACAAAATCAAAAATTCAATTCTTTCTTTTTTGCAAACTCTGCAATGAAAAGGACCAAAATAAAATAAAAACTTTAGTTAAACTAAAACAATTACAAAATGCAAAATTCAATTCTTTCTTTGTTATTGTGTCAAAATTAATTTATAATAACAAACCTTCATAAATGCATCAATTTCTGGATCCGGCCTCAAGTTCCTTTCCCTCTCCAATTTGTGGAGAGATGCTAATAGATTCATTTCCAACCCTCAAATCTATTTCCCCACAAAACCAAAAACAAAAGGTTAGTTTGCTCCCCTCGAAAGCAAAGGGAATGAAAGAAAGGAAGAGCAAAATAAAAGAAAAGGGGGAGTCTAAACCTGGACACCAAGCATAATGAGTACAACTACTGCTAAAACCATTTGTCAGATGATATGAAATATGAATCATGAACTTATACGCAATAAAGTTGAATCCTCAAATAATCTGGTACAGATTGGATCACGTAAGATGAAGAAACAATAGTCCTACCAGTATAGAAGCATGCAAAAGAAGCTCTAAGAATTAGAAAAACATCGCAAAGAATGTATCCTCCTCTACCATATTGAACACATTACAAAGTTCATTTCGACTTAAAAGGATGTTTCCCTTGCAACAAATGCATATTCCCAAGTCAGCAATTCCAGTGTCACTATGATAGAGCATAGACACAAAAATAACCATACCAGCGAAGATCATGGTGCTCAAACTTATATGCAGCTCCAGCCACGGCAAGGGGAGCTGTAACCTGGAACGGTAATGCAATCATTTAATAACAAATCAAACAATGTTCAGAAGTACAAAGCTTTCAAGATGTTCGCCACCATTTTCTAAAACAAACACGACATAGCACTGTATGCAAAATTGTGAGTTGCAATTTAAACCTACGTAAGTAACATTAACCTCATAATATAAAATTTATTTTTACTCTAGAAGATCACCAAATCTTATGAAAAATAACTCTGACGATGGCTCAAAATACGTACTGTATATCCAAATTTTGAAATTTAATTGCTTTATCTCCTTACCCGATAAAGCCAGACGATTACTGATCACTAAGCATGCAATTCTTGAAAACCACCGAAATCTTAACAACTTCCACTCAATTTCTCAGCAACAGAAAGATCAAGCCAAATCAAAACCAGCAACTTTCAACCAAATTGCACAAAAGAGTCAAAATTTAATTGCTATACAGAACTATTGGTTCAATCGAAAACATTACATCTAACTGAAGAAACTAAAACAAAAGTATAGCAAATTATATACCTAAAAATGTCAAGCAAGCAACCAAGGCCATAATTAAAATGTTTCGCTTTAAGCAGATAATAGTGAAACGGTGAGGATGAACCTGCTGCTATGAATTGCATATTCGAGTGGATGAAACTCTACTTTCAAAAAAATACGTTCATATAGTTCACCTGCAAGTATAGCAAATTACATTCTAGGTTGGGGTGTGTCAATGTGTGTTGCCCTGTTGTTTTTTTACTTTTTGATTAGTTGTTTTATGACACAGAATTGGATTTTAAGGAATAGTGTTTAGCTCCTTCAATTTCTATTGATTTTCATTCAGCTTTTTTAAATTATGTAACTATAGATTTTGTTATTTTGTTACTATAACTTTAGAAGATGAGCATGATACAACGGCAACCTGAATCACAACTAATGTCATTACAAAAGCCTACAGGTATAGCACAAGTTGTTACACTTTGTAAGTTTTTACCGACACTTTATAACATTTTCTTATCAAGTTTTCCCTATTTTCAAATACTTGAATGTAGGTGAGGATGGGAATTGGAACACATGTCTCTATATGTTGTTTTACATCGAACTGGGATACAGCATATAGACATGTATCCCAATTCTACTGGAACACATGTATCTAAGAAAAGGTCCTTTTTTTTTCCAGAATAGTGTTTAAATCTGTAAAAGGCCTTCTCAATCTATTGTCTACACTGAAAGAAAAAAAAAAAAAAAAAAAAAAAAGAGGTCGGACGCTAAAAAATTTCAAATCCAAGAAAAGAAAAAGGTATAACTTTTCTTCAATTTTTTCATATCTTTAAATTCATTACAATTCATTCTCATTATTATTCAATTTCACGGTTCTTATCAAGTTCTTTTCCACCAACTCACCGAGACCACCGCCAACTCACCCAAATCCGAGGAATCAAGCTGCAACATATGCATGAATAGTGATTTATCCTACTCTAGATTTCAAAAATTCATTTTTAGGTTGTGTGTTTAAAGTTTTTTTACAATCGTTCTAGTAACCTTTCCCTTCAAGGGAATTGGCTGCCACCAATATATATTATATATATATATATATATATATATATATATACACACACACATTTTATCTTCTCTTTACCTGATCTGAATACATGAACAATTACTTGTTTGCCCATTCAAAGGGAATTGGCTACCACCAATATATATATATATATATATATATGTATGTATGTATATGTATATATACACACATTTTAATATATATGGATATGTATATATACACACATTTTATCTTCTCTTTACCTGATCTGAATATATGAACAATTACTTGTTTGCCCATTCAAGGGTTAAGTTGGACATCCAAAGTGTAAGTCAACATGCCCACAATGTCAACTCTCCACAACATCTTAGCGATATGAAAATTATTAAATCTATCTGTAGACCATTTCCGACACTCATTAATTAGATTTAACAATTTCCATATTATTAACATGTTCTTTGGCTCAGTTGAGGCACGTGGAAAGATTATATCTTTGGTAATCTATTTATACTTTTAGATATCCATCTTAAACCTCTCAGTGAACCATCAAGTAATTAGGCATGCGTTTAGAACAGTTCAAAAGGAGAAAGCCCTTGTATATACAATGGTCGCAACGTTTTCCCTTGAAAGGAAAAGATGGAGGTGATGACCTACAAGACACCAAGTCAGGTGTATTTGATCCATCTTTCTACACCCTTTTGTTTCATTTTAGAAAGGAAATGCTAGGAAATTGACTATGGTTTCAACTGCTAATTAGGGCTTATTTTGGGGTTTAATT